TCAAAACAAAGAAAGAGGGCATTTCAATGAACATCATCCAATGCTATGCGCCTACCAACGACTACAATGAAGACGCTAAAGATCAATTCTACAATAGGCTGCAGTCAATCGTCGAGAAGTGCCCAACAAAGGACCTGACCATTCTGATGGGAGATTTCAACGCCAAGGTTGGAACGGACAACACTGGATATGAAGACATCATGGGACGACACGGACTGGGAGAAAGAAACGAAAATGGTGAGAGATTTGCAAATCTATGTGCCTTCAATAAGCTGGTCATAGGCGGCACCGTATTCCCACATAAACGCATACACAAAACCACACGGACTTCACCGGATCACTCTACACAAAACCAAATCGACCATATTTGCATCAACAAAACGTTCAGGAGGACTATAGAGGACGTGAGAACCAAGAGAGGAACTGATATAGCATCAGATCATCACTTGCTGGTCGCCAAGATGAAATTGAAACTCAAGAAACACTGGACAACACTGGACAACACAGCATGCACCAATCCAATCACAATTGACAGAGAAGATTTGGAAGATGTAAAAACCTTAACATATTTGAGTGGAAGTGGTTAGGACACACATTGAGGAAAGCACCCAACTGCATCACAAGACAAGCCCTCACATGGAATCCTGAAGGTCAAAGGAAAAGAGGAAGACCAAAGAACACAATACGCCGAGAAATGGAGATAGACATGAGAAAAATGAACAAGAATTGGATGGAACTAGAAAAGAAGGCCCAGGACAGAGTGGGTTGGACAATGCTGGTCAGCGGCCTATGCTCCATTGGGAGTAACAGGCATTGATCTTGATCTGAGTTGTTATAGTGCGGATAACTTTGTCCACTAAATGAGTTAGCAAAAGGGCTTAACTGCGTTAGATGAGACTAAACTCATTTGCACGTGAGTCGCTATACCATCCATCACAAAAAAGAAACCACACTAAAAAACCCACATGAGTTATAAATCTTCTCGATTTTAATCGCCATGGATCTGACTACAGGTCGATCATATGAATGATTGTTATTGAAATATCCATATCGTCAAACCTCAGTTCATTTGTAAATCTCAATCACCGCGTTGATTATTCTTCATCAAAAATAGAAGTGCTTCATTTTAACTTTACTCTCCATTCGAATTGCTTAACAAATGAACTATCCACACTCATGAATAATTTATCAACATTTGTTTGAGAAATAAATTCACTCCCATCTTCTGGAATCCGTGTTGACGATTACCTTTACTCTTCCTACACTACCGCTTAAATACTCATACAAGTGATTATATCACTCGTCACTCTTAGATGGATTTATGAGCATAATAAATGTTTGGTCAGTGTTATTTCAAGGCATACTTACTGAAAATATTCTTCTTTTCAATATTCCGCTCCTACTGTCGATTCCGAACTAAGGTTTGGAATGAAGAATAACTGTCTATGTGGTTTAGACACACGCTATTGCCCAGTTGAAACCAAAACAAGGTAATTGAGTAATTGACGATTACAGAATTCATTATACGTATAAATGTATATTATTAACTAAACAAATATTACCAGACAGTTATTCAATCAATAATTGTTCAATCAGTAGTCAAATCTAAATTACAATAACTAAACAAATTGATAAGATATGTAAGAGAATTACCGAGCGCACTGCACCAACACAATGAAATGGGGCAACAAATCAATATGCCTGCCACCAAGACTAAGTATCAACTGAAACAACATAATTATAACTCATAAAGAAACATGGAAACGCGGTGAAGGTGAAAGGAAATCAAAAACTACAATAAAATACAAATATCACCATCTCAAATGGAATCAAAACGACTGAACGAACGTTCAACTGAACGAATCAATAGAAATAAATTACATATATAAACATGGAATCATTTCTACACAAAAAATCTTCAAAATGTCTCTTACACCTATATTATCGCTTGTTGAAATCGGTAGGTCTAAATACAATACATAGTATTCAGTAGGTTACTAAAACATCTAGTACACACATGAATTCAATGATGATGTGAATGTGTTATATCACATTGACTATAACAGCAATTCATAGGACTCAGATCACACAACAACTGAAAACCATGATCGTTTGAATTTATTCCACCACAATGATCGATTTCATGATTTTGTGCTCAGATGGTATTACTTTCTTGGTCTTAATAGTTCACTGATTCTCAGTCTCGTTCGCTTATCCTCAAATTTATTGGTCACTCACTCGTACGTTTCTTCCTGTTTATTCATTGATTGATCATTCACTACCTTAAGTAAAGAAAAAGTGAAGGAATTGTCACGCACATTTTACATTCTCATAGATTTTCTCGATTATAAGTTTGAAACGTAATGCACGATCAAAGTAACTTATTGATTTCCTTCTTATAAAATTCATTTATTAACATCCGCCGTAACGAAATGCCGACAAAGGTAGATATAATAAACTAAAAAATTGTATTCACAAGAAACATTTAGGAAGAATGGTGTTATTATGATCGCTATCAAAGGTCGAGATCAGTTGAGACTAGTTTAGTTGGATATGAAAATGGTTTATTTCGTAAGATTGATCAGAACAAACACTGAGTGAAGTTATTTGAACTTTGATAAACTGACCATATACTTGCTGATTAATAGATAGATGGATAGATAGATAGATGTGTGGATAGATTGATAATGCTGATGACTGAAATGAGTCCTTCATTTGTCAACGCGTACTCTGTGGAATCTGTGACAAAATATCCACCACTACCTGCTCATCTGATGTGTTTGTAACGATATCACATCTATGGTAATGCAGACCATCAATTTACCAAGACAAATTCAACTATGTGTAAATGAAACAATGTGCAATTTTATTTTGACTTACTTGTGTTGTATGAGTGTTGTTAAATGTCAAACTATGTTTTCCACTACGTTATATTCGATTACGACACGACTATCAGAGAAGATTTTATGGATTTGTGATACACGTGATGAGTAACTAACTTTTACTTTCCACTTGGTTGTAACGTGTGTTTTGTCAGTCACTTGTGAGCGTTGAGGGCTCATTTCAAGCGATGGTTTAATGGAAACTAACTAACAAACTTTCTGTTTAATTCTCACTTAAAATAATTTTCAGTTTTTGAATACTTATGGTCTCTGGAGGAAATCTAGATGCGTTTGTTTGCTGCTCCGAAGAATAATTTGGAGCACGAACTAAGATTTATAATAAAAATTCAGAGAATATTTGTTCAATTGAGGAGACGAACTGTTTCTTACCGGATGATCTAATTAGTGATGGCAATCACATTCAGCAACGCTCTCTATGGTAAAAAATCGAATATTGATGCCTTCGGTTAGAAGCGCTGAACACTTACCATTCTCGCTCTAGACTCACTTACTGAAAGTCATCTCATTGGGACACACGCTAGTTATATGTAGACCGTATAAACAATAAACATGTTTACTGATTTCCAACTTATATTCGAGCTCGACCAGAACATTCGCTTTTATTGTTTATGTTTGCCATGGATCTTTCAACATCTAGACATATTGGAGAGATTTGATAACATCCTGAATAGTTGGTTATGTTATTTTGACCAATTTGTGTGAAGTTATACAAACTTATATTGACTAGAAATGTTTGAGGATTATTCAACTCGATATGTTTGATCTTAACTATAAAATGGAAAGGGGTTTAAACATTTATGAAATCACATGTGCAATTAAAGGCATTTCAATGATGTACACTCTGTGTATGCCTTTGATGTGGTACGTATATTATGTTTTCGATAATATAAGGACCTCGATAGATAGTTTATCTGAAAAATGTGATGTAATTGCACTATACATTTCGTACAATTTGGTCACACATATACTTGTCAGTGCATTCTTGTATGAAAATTAATAAAGGTCAATTAAATGAAAGTTCAAGTAAAAAAGTAACAAAGGGGAGAGAAAGAATAAGAAATTGTCGGGTTATCCTAGGCCATAGAATGACTTATGGATTACCAAGGTAAATTCAAAGTTACGACAAATTGTTTTTGTACACATAAGGGGCATTTAAATTTACGAATAGCCAAGGCTTCAATAAACTTAAGAATTCGTCCATGACAATTTCTAAACAACATTCTAAAAGCTGTATTAATGTTAATTTTATGCCCCGTTTCAATTATATGTTTCGCTATCGAACATTGCAATCAAGAGTAAATGAACATGTGCCTAAATGGCTTCAAAATCGATGTGTGTCAAATCATCCAATCAATGTGGTAGGTAGAAAACCTGGTTCATCGATAGCGAAACTCCGTCTTCTCATTATTCTATCGAAATTTATAAAAAGGACTAATTGCTTTAAATATAAGAATCGTTATATTGTAATTTCTACTGACGACCCATGTCAGCTGACTCATGGTCTAAAAATTAAGTGTTTACGCACGAGACCGAAGTCCCTGTTTTCCACTTTTGAATGCGGGTTGTGGATACACATTGTTGATAAGACGCATATCAGAGAGAACCTGCGGTCTAATGCCACTAGGTTCTCCATGGATGTCTAGCTAAGAATGGTTGGTAATTTAAACTGATAATCTGACAAATTTTATCATAGGTGTATTGATTGGACAGGAACTAAGCTTACAGTTTGGAAACACTGAACTCTGTTGGTACTTCAGATAAATTTATACATCAGATGTGATGCAACATCTAATTGGCTGCTGCGAGTATAATAGGTTAGTTGTGAAAAGTGAACGGTAGTATAGATATGGCTCAAATAATATTCCACAGACTTTCTACAGTTTACATCCAACATTACAGTTCAAACTTGAAGCGCAAAACAAAATCACAACTTCTTAATAAGGAGATGGCAAACAAACCTTATGCAACTGTGAGGAGATTCGTTTACAGAAAGCTTTGATGAAGTGACCGCCCAGCAAGCTTCCACAGCTGGGCTTTTGCTAGAAAGAAGGCAAACTTAATTGTACCGTTCGTAACATCAATTCAGTGAATCCTCAGTCTTGATTTCATAAACGGAGAGTAAGTTCTTTAGAAAAACATTCTTATAGAATATGCATAATCAGCGAGATTTGTTGACAACAATAAGAAGCTCAATCTGCAAAAACAATCAGTTACCTATCCTATGCTCACTCTTTTATTCAGCCGCACTTGTACACATATTTTGCAATTTATAAGCCATTCGTTGAACTAAAATTGTGGTTGTCGTCCAGTTGACCCATATTAGTCAACAATCCAAAGAAAAATCACTCTCATCTTGCATGGACACTTAGAAATTCATCTGCTCCTACGGAGGCTGATGCATATGTAGCTCAGTTGACATCTTATATCGAAGAGAGAGAGTTCAGGTTCATCGCTCATCCTACTTGGTCACGTACACTGATCAGTAATGGCTGTACGAGCACGTGTGGAGAGTAAGAGTATGTATTATGAGCCGTGTTAGTAGATGCAGACTACTTGGTTGCGGTCCGCGTAACTATCGTAACCAGGGTTTGGAGACTCACAATGGCATAGGTGTACACTTAAATGCAATCTTCCTTTTATATATTACCACCATTAAAGCAACTACTTCTGTGAATTTGGTGTTCATCTTGTTGTGCTAATAAGGTATGGCAACTTGGACCAGTGCATATATATGCTTGATCCTACGTTGTAGCTGACTGACTGACTGATTTATTATGAAATGAAGAATTTCCACGATGTGGAAATGATTTTGTTGTTTCATCTGAATAGATCCTAACGAATGATAGACTAAAAAGAATAGGAAGTATAAAAGTCATCAAGAGAATTGTTTAATCTAATTATATTGTCATAAATATCAGCAACTAACAACAATGGTATTTGTATAAAATTATATTTCAACTGTTCATTCAAATGTTAATGAATAATCGTTTGAATAATGACAATGATAGTTTGTCAAATCATGTCCAACTTGTGTTATTTTCTAACAATCTCGATGTCAACAAGTACATGTTTATTCCCTACATCAGTTGGCAAGTATAAAGACAGTATATTTCCCTTCATTTCAGTAATTAAATTGTTTGGTTTTATGTTCATTGAAAATCCATTTGGATAATGTACAGATAATGGTATGTAAATTTCTGCAATTAAAATCTGTTTCTTACTATACTGATTACTCGACTGGTTTGTAATGAAGGAGAAACTAAAATTTCCGGTTTTATAATTGAATTGTTGTTTACGAAATATCCCATTTGTTGATTGAGGATAAGAACGAATGAAAGATTTCACCTATGGGTGTGGTAGAAAAAATGAGGAAAGATGAACAATGGGAAATAATACACTGGATCATACTCAGTACGAGTCATTTGAACTATTCGTACATGTACAAATCGGTCATCACATCCATTCAGTTTCAAACCACCATTTTATAAACTTGTTGGGTTTTATAGTAGTTACTGAACTGTCGAAACTGCAAATTCAATCAAAATGATTGTGGTGGCGCATACCTAATACACTAGTCTACGGTCAACAACTAAGTGACATATTCTGACCAATTCGGTTGAACTTATATAGCACAGCTCCTATAACGTTGGTATTTCAGTTCTCAAACATTTGATATCCTTCTCGATAAATGTCTGACTTTATTCGAGGTGTAAACTTCTGGATTCATCATTACCATTCAACAAATTTGCTAAAAACCTCAAATTCGAACAAAAATACTATTGAACACTTAAGTTCAAAATTTTATTACCTCACTTTTAATAGGATTTCCTACTTCATCCAAAAAGTTTCCATCCCAATATGTCCATGATTCAAAGTGTTTATCAGCTTCATCCAATACTGCATTACATTCCAATGTGTTTACACTACGTGGGTTTCCATCATCTCCACACAAACCGAATTCAGTTAAAAATCTACCACCTCCAGTTGTTTTTGTTGCTTTAATTGCATTGGATATCACAGTTGGTAAGAGGAACTAAATGTAATTTGAAAAGCAAATAGCAATATACATAATTAATGTTTTCAACCATACATAATGAACATTGTTCCATCCGAACAAAAAATAAGATAGTTCATTTGTTATTTAATCAAATAATGATAATTTAGAGGCGTAATTTTTTGTCAGTATAGGGTTGTGGCGATTATTAGTTTATTGATCGAGATCATGAACCTATTGATGTTAGACTACCATTGAAAACCTAGAAGCACTGGACGGCCCTTTCGTCCTATTGTGGGACTCTTCAACAGTGTGTATTCATGATCCGGCTTGTGGGATTCGAACTCAGAGCCTTCAGTTTTGCGCGCGAACGCATAACCATGTGCTCACTAGTGACTAGCTTCATGAGGGAATTCTCGGAGTCCATGTGAGAAGCCATGCCAGTGGAACTAATCGGTGTCGGGTAGAGACAGGTATCTACCTCAGTACAATGGAAGATGGTCGTGCAATGTCGTCGATTGGTTGAAGTTAGACATTATCACCATTGGGTGCCGGCAAGTTTAGTGGTCTAGAGGCTAAGCGTTCGCGCTCGAGAATGAAGACCCTGGGCTGGAATCCCGCGAGAGGGATCGTGGATGCGAACTCCTGAGGACTCCCAGTGCTTCAAGATTTTCAATGGTGGTCTAAAATCAGTCGGTTCACAATCTCAGTCAAAAGCATAATTTTTATTGATATTACAGGACTAATGAATAAGTTGCTGTTTCACTAAGATGAATGAGTCAAAGTAAGAAAATAACGGTGACGAAGAAAAAATTAACTACAACTGAAATGAAAATAGTATTTTACACAACCATGAAGTATGAGAAGTGGATTGTATTGGATTCTAACCTTGAATGTCTTCTCAAATAACGTTAGACACTAATTTCTGTTTTCAAAGAGACCCATCCCCGTATATCAAAGTTCGTTTCGCAAGTCAAACCTGCAGCTTGATTGTTTAAGTCTGCATTTTCTCGACGGTGGTATATGTGATCGATTTGTTATTTACGACAATGATGAAATAACTGCTTCGTGATTTCCGTCCTAAATGATTGTCCAGTTAATTTCAAATCATGGTGTTAACTGTAAAATTTAAAAATTTAGGCAAACACATATACTGGAGACAATCAGTCTCTGATAACATGCATGCTTCTTTAAAGGGTGATCCGGTTTAACCTGGATTTATTCTTATCGTGCAAACCAGCTCCAGTATATACATTATTCAAAGAGGTGAAGATGCATGTAACTGATTATTTCATAACCAGAGGGGAAACCATATTTAGATTGAAATGCTAGTCAATGTCTAAGATATGGAGAACACAGTGTTACTTTTAATATCACGGTCTGTTTTTAAGTGACTTCACTGAGTTCTTTCCTCTCAAATGTAACAGATAACTCGACACGAGTAAATCTCTTATTGAACTGTTATAACTATCTGGGAATAGGTAGTCAACACTTGAATACATAAATCATGTAAGTGGTATAATGAATGAAAGCATCAATCAACTCCCATCCTATATGTTTAATGAATTTAGAAAATAAGTTAACTTAGTCTCATTTAAAAAGTATTGTTTGTCTATTTATGAGCGATATCAGGAGATTTATTAATAATGTTGAAAAACTAAGAGTTAAAGAAAATTTGAAATTTACCGAGTCACATATAACTTTCTTCCAAAAAGGCATTGTGGTGTTCGGATAATCACTCTGCAAGATCCAACAATAATAATGATATGACAAAACACTTTTATTCGGTGCTGATTTATCATGATTAGCTCCAGGAACACGTCGAAATCCAGTCCCTAACCATCCTGAGGGGCTTAGAGGAGTAAATATCCCATATGTAACTGGTTCATAGAATATTAATGTTGAATTGTCATATTTACGTATTCTCTCAACAAGATAATCGTAAACTGGTAGTAGATTATATCGACCAGCATAACCTGAAACCAGAAAATCCATCATACAAACATGAAAGAATAATGTTTCTCCAAATTAAACAGTATAGTACACAATCGATGATCCAAATTCGTTTCTTTCATGAATGTACTATATCTTATAATCTTAGTGGTGTCTCATCGAATATCAATAGCAACCGAAATACGTTTCTGTTTTAAATGATATTCGGTTGATCTTAAGACAAAAATCACGAAGTGGTGACGATAGCCTATTACAGAGTGCACAACTGGAATTTCGACTGTTTGCAAATGTAGTGGAAAATAAAAGTTATAAATGTGAAAGGAATCGTTGCGGTTACACGAAGTGTCGTGAATCATATAGAATAATTCATATAGAATCATATAGAATAATTCGACAAAGTATCCAAAATTCAAGCTGTCTTCAAGGTGGTATCACTAGTTCGAATTATACTTCAAGTTTCATGAAATAAACACGTTTCACATCCTAACATACCTTTACTGGTTTTAAAATTAAACTCTTTCCATGATACTAACATCATCTCAAATGAGAAGGAAAGAGTTACTGGAGAATCGATGTCATTAAGTAATATTGAAAACGTTGGAATTTACTCTTCATTGTGTATTCAGTTGATATGACAATGTTAAGTTATTAAATGTCTGAAAGATTTAAAATCATTTACTCATTATAATTAATTCCCTGTCATCATGATAACTAACAATTATAGAGATGACCGTTTTTCAGATGATCGGAAAATTGAGAATTACTGAATTGAGCATGGATCAATTTGTATCGTTGAACCCGATGAACTCGAAATAAGTGAATTTATGCATTTGGAAATTCTGAAATAGTAACTAACCGACTGAATGAATATAGGTCCAATCATCGTCCACATTGAGTTGAGGACGTTTAAGGTCATATCATAAATCATTTGAAAGATTTTAAGTGGAGATTCTAAGTATTTTACTATATTTAGTTCATAATAAATTACTAATTATCACTTGATATCAGAAGTGATGGTCCAAATGCAATTCATTTTGTTGCACTTAACCGGAAATCACTTCGACACATATATTAGAAGTCAACAAAATTACACCTCATGATCTCAACTATTGAAATTACTACAATCTCCACAAAACCCCTTCCGATACTAATCAACACATGCTCACTAGTGACTGGCTTCAAGAGGTAGTTCCAGTGAAAAGCAGTGACTAGTGGAGTTCAAGCAGGTCTGTTATGAGATAGTGACTCACAGACGACAATAGTGAATGTGTCGCTCACTTTCGTGGATTAGTTGAAGCTAGACATTAACATCACCGGATACTACCACAGTGGTCTAATGGTCAAGTATTAGGTTTGAATCCCGCGAGGCGGGATCGTGGATGCGCACTGCTGAGGAGTCCAGGTTTTCCATGGTGATCTAGCTTCAATTGACTCATGATATCAACTATTAAAATCACTACAATCTCCACAAAACCCCTTCTGATACAAATCTATCTACCTGAAATCTCAAAGTAGTGTTAACGTTTCGCACAAGATAAATTCAGTAAATACAACTTTACCTGAAAACCCACGTAATGGATTAGAATAAAAGTTTCCAGGTGGAGGTTCATTAATCAAATCATAACCAAGTACATTTGACTTTCTACCAAATTGTTTAGCTACGATTTCCCAAAAATCACCCCAGTGATTCCAAGCACCTGATACATTCTCATATAACTGTTGAGCTGCATTAGTACACTCATAAGTCAAATAATATGCCCCATCCCATTTCGGCAACTCTTTATACGGCCAAGGCTCTTGTAAAAAGTATGATGGTCTTTTAAATTGATCAATTAACCAAAGTGGTATACCATCATAAGTACCATATCGCCTCGATAATCCATCTTGATGCATATCTAATATCACATAAATTCCATGATCAGCATATAAATCAATCAGCTTTTCAATTTGATTTAAATATGTAGTGTTCACTATTGATATATTTGGCATTACTCCACTCCACATAATACCTAATCGAACAACATTCAAACCCCAATTCTGGAACATTTGTATTTGTGTGATATTGAAGGCATTTTGTTCATACCATGGAAAAGATTTTCTCACGTTGTTAAACCCTCTAAATAATCTAATGAATCCACGATGATCTGTGAACATTCCATGTTGATTCAGATGAATTTTACTGAGAGGAATATGTTCTGTACAAACTGATGACCAGAAGAATATAAAAAAAATTGTAAACCACATAGAAAAATCAATCTTTGTAGTCTCAGTTTCGAGATATACTATTGTGATAAATACTAGTGATATATATATATATATATATATATATATATATATATATATATATATATATATATATATATATATATATATATATATATATATATATATATATATATATATATATATGATAACCTACACACACTCTGATCGTACTGTTTGTGTGATTATAGACTGAACGATTAAGGGTGATTACGCCAAATTGATAACCTTGTATAATAATATAGTTTAGTAATTTGTTACGAGATATGCTAGATATATCAAAGCTTAAAGTTCATTTGACGATCAATGAATGTGCCATTAGCTATATGTGTAATTCGTTTTTTTATTTGATCAATAAATATTTACAATCAGTAATATACTGTATATTAGAAATGTCAGGATACATTAAGTAAAGCAAAGTTGTCTCTATGTTAGGTCATTCAAAACTACTCATTATTGTTACTATGTTACATCAGTAGTAGACAGAATTTAGTGAACAATCAACGTGACATTTAAACGTCGATTGTAGTAGCTCTTCTAGAATTACTGCCGGTTTCAAGCTCGGCTAAAGGAGGAGGGTTGGATATGGGGTTAGCGACCCCATCCCGTAGAGAACTAACTCGCTAAAATAACGCTAACCAGAAAAAATAATTCTAAACAAGTGTAGTTTTCAGTGAAACTAAGGCCATGTTTCGTCCTATTCGATATTAGTTAGCTTAATGTATACATTGTATATAGTTTAACATACTTCCCACCTCGTCTTAATATCTTTCAAGTGATCACTGACATAACCCTAAAGGTCTGTAGTCCAATGCATATTACCCATGTAGTTCATTTGTGATAACCTCGAAAATGAAATTCAATGTATTGTTTTTCAGTCAGTGAAAAATATAAGCTGATAATAATACATGCAAATATCGTTTATTTATGAGGTGTGATCTTAAAACTTTAGTTTGAGTATCAAAATTTATGAAAGTTTGTTGTGTATGATTAGATCTGTATTCCACTGGTTGGAATCATGAGTCAATTGAAGCTAGACCACCACGGAAATCCTGGAAGCACCGGACGGCTGTTTCGTCCTAGTATGGGACTCTTCATCAGTGAGTATCCACAATCCCGCCCCCCGCGAGATTCTGTATTCATTTAGTCGGTTAGTTACTATTTCAGAATTTTCAATTGCATGTATCCACTTAATCGACTTCAATGATACCAAGTGATCCATACTCAATTCAGTAATTCCCAATTTTTTGATCACCTCAAAATCTGTCATAGTATAACAATCAACACCAAAATAGCAAGACTACAATTTATGGACGAACCAATCAGGTATAAGATAACAGGTCTCGGATTTTGGAGTGAAATTCACTCAACGATTTTTCGCTTAAATAGAGTTTTGGCATTATTTAAGAAAGATTAGTTCAGCAAAGAGTTATCTTTTCAGCGAATTCATTTTGAAAGCTGTACAATCGTGAATACATATACTTATTTTAACAGGATGATAATAATACTGATAATAAACTTGTGTTAGGGATGTTGACAGTGAGGTTAAATAAACAAAGTTATTAAAAAAATTCTTTAAAAAACAAGGAAAGTTCAATAATCGTTTGATTGTTAATGGCTTAAGTATTCATCAAAGGATAGATAGGGAAATTATCAATGGGAAACGATAGCTCAGCATGATAAGATAAATGTTGAAATTGAGGTGAAACATAATGAGGATGATCGTGCAAACAAAATGAACCAGTTTGGGGTAGAAAATTTAGGAGGGAGATGGAGGGTGAAGCAGATGGCTGTAAAGGAAGAACAGTATGAAGAAAGAAGGGAGAAGAAAGGAAGGCTTTATGTTCTTATCAATGAAAAAGAAACTTAATAATAACACTCGCAACAAGAATATGACGAATCTGTAGTCACGAATTCATAGATGAAGAATTGGGCTACTTGAAGGAGATACTGAATAAAAACGGATATCCTTCGATATTCATTGATAAGATCATGAAGCCGAAAGCACCGAAAACACAGATAACTACAGTAGTAAAGAAAACTTTATGCATGGACATCGAATTCAAGGGTGACTGAGCCACACACACACCCTAAAATAGAGAGTTTCCGATTCCTTAAAAAAAGATTCCCCGCAACAACATTACAAATTCTTCACCAATAATCTTAAAGATGAATTATCGCAGCTGACCAATTCATTGTGGGAGGTAGAAAACCTGGTTCATCGATAGCGAAACATATAATTGAAACGGGGCATAAAATTAACATTAATACAGCTTTTAGAATGTTGTTTAGAAATTGTCATGGACGAATTCTTAAGTTTATTGAAGCCTTGGCTATTCGTAAATTTAAATGCCCCTTATGTGTACAAAAACAATTTGTCGTAACTTTGAATTTACCTTGGTAATCCATAAGTCATTCTATGGCCTAGGATAACGCGACAATTTCTTATTCGTTCTCTCCCCTTTGTTACTTTTTTACTTGAACTTTCATTTAATTGACCTTTATTAATTTTCATACAAGAATGCACTGACAAGTATATGTGTGACCAAATTGTACGAAATGTATAGTGCAATTACATCACATTTTTCAGATAAACTATCTATCGAGGTCCTTATATTATCGAAAACATAATATACGTACCACATCAAAGGCATACACAGAGTGTACATCATTGAAATGCCTTTAATTGCACATGTGATTTCATAAATGTTTAAACCCCTTTCCATTTTATAGTTAAGATCAAACATATCGAGTTGAATAATCCTCAAACATTTCTAGTCAATATAAGTTTGTATAACTTCACACAAATTGGTCAAAATAACATAACCAACTATTCAGGATGTTATCAAATCTCTCCAATATGTCTAGATGTTGAAAGATCCATGGCAAACATAAACAATAAAAGCGAATGTTCTGGTCGAGCTCGAATATAAGTTGGAAATCAGTAAACATGTTTATTGTTTATACGGTCTACATATAACTAGCGTGTGTCCCAATGAGATGACTTTCAGTAAGTGAGTCTAGAGCGAGAATGGTAAGTGTTCAGCGCTTCTAACCGAAGGTATCAATGTTCGATGTTTTACCATAGAGGGCGTTGCTGAATGTGATTGCCATCACTAATTAGATCATCCGGTAAGAAACAGTTCGTCTCCTCAATTGAACAAATATTCTCTGAATTTTTATTATAAATCTTAGTTCGTGCTCCAAATTATTCTTCGGAGCAGCAAACAAACGCATCTAGATTTCCTCCAGAGACCATAAGTATTCAAAAACTGAAAATTATTTTAAGTGAGAATTAAACAGAAAGTTTGTTAGTTAGTTTCCATTAAACCATCGCTTGAAATGAGCCCTCAACGCTCACAAGTGACTGACAAAACACACGTTACAACCAAGTGGAAAGTAAAAGTTAGTTACTCATCACGTGTATCACAAATCCATAAAATCTTCTCTGATAGTCGTGTCGTAATCGAATATAACGTAGTGGAAAACATAGTTTGACATTTAACAACACTCATACAACACAAGTAAGTCAAAATAAAATTGCACATTGTTTCATTTACACATAGTTGAATTTGTCTTGGTAAATTGATGGTCTGCATTACCATAGATGTGATATCGTTACAAACACATCAGATGAGCAGGTAGTGGTGGATATTTTGTCACAGATTCCACAGAGTACGCGTTGACGAATGAAGGACTCATTTCAGTCATCAGCATTATCAATCTATCCACACATCTATCTATCTATCCATCTATCTATTAATCAGCAAGTATATGGTCAGTTTATCAAAGTTCAAATAACTTCACTCAGTGTTTGTTCTGATCAATCTTACGAAATAAACCATTTTCATATCCAACTAAACTAGTCTCAACTGATCTCGACCTTTGATAGCGATCATAATAACACCATTCTTCCTAAATGTTTCTTGTGAATACAATTTTTTAGTTCATTATATCTACCTTTGTCGGCATTTCGTTACGGCGGATGTTAATAAATGAATTTTATAAGAAGGAAATCAATAAGTTACTTTGATCGTGCATTACGTTTCAAACTTATAATCGAGAAAATCTATGAGAATGTAAAATGTGCGTGACAATTCCTTCACTTTTTCTTTACTTAAGGTAATGAATGATCAATCAATGAATAAACAGGAAGAAACGTACGAGTGAGTGACCAATAAATTTGAGGATAAGCGAACGAGACTGAGAATCAGTGAACTATTAAGACCAAGAAAGTAATACCATCTGAGCACAAAATCATGAAATCGATCATTGTGGTGGAATAAATTCAAACGATCATGGTTTTCAGTTGTTGTGTGATCTGAGTCCTATGAATTGCTGTTATAGTCAATGTGATATAACACATTCACATCATCATTGAATTCATGTATGTACTAGATGTTTTAGTAACCTACTGAATACTATGTATTGTATTTAGACCTACCGATTTCAACAAGCGATAATATAGGTGTAAGAGACATTTTGAAGATTTTTTGTGTAGAAATGATTCCATGTTTATATATGTAATTTATTTCTATTGATTCGTTCAGTTGAACGTTCGTTCAGTCGTTTTGATTCCATTTGAGATGGTGATATTTGTATTTTATTGTAGTTTTTGTTTTCCTTTCACCTTCACCGAGTTTCCATGTTTCTTTATGAGTTATAATTATGTTGTTTCAGTTGATACTTAGTCTTGGTGGCAGGCATATTGATTTGTTGCCCCATTTCATTGTGTTGGTGCAGTGCGCTCGGTAATTCTCTTACATATCTTATCAATTTGTTTAGTTATTGTAATTTAGATTTGACTACTGATTGAACAATTATTGATTGAATAACTGTCTGGTAATATTTGTTTAGTTAATAATATACATTTATACGTATAATGAATTCTGTAATCGTCAATTACTCAATTACCTTGTTTTGGTTTCAACTGGGCAATAGCGTGTGTCTAAACCACATAGACAGTTATTCTTCATTCCAAACCTTAGTTCGGAATCGACAGTAGGAGCGGAATATTGAAAAGAAGAATATTTTCAGTAAGTATGCCTTGAAATAACACTGACCAAACATTTATTATGCT